TATATATATCAATCAATCATCAATTTCAACTCCTCCATAAAATCTTCTCTAATTCTTCTTGGTTGGAGACAAAACACCTACTTCCAATGGTTGGAATGTTTTCTAACTTCCTTATCACTAATTTCTCTCTATTGTAATTCTCATCTCAGAATACAAGTCATTTCTTCAGAGAGTTCTTTGAGGAACCAATATTTAGCGATGGATTTAGCAAGCCGTCTCACTAAAGCTTTGCACATTTCCCCCCACTTATATTGATCTGCATGGTGCAATAAAAACAGCCACAGATTTTAAGTACCTTCTACACGTGTAGCCTACTAATCGGCACGCATTTACATACTCGTCCACAAGCTTCAAGGAAAGCCAAAGGTTTGGAAGGCAATATTTGCAGAGACAAATCTCAGTTAACTCTCGGGGGAGGAGTGGCCAGGGGAAGCAACAATCTTGGAAACCCATTCCTTGTTTGGTAAAGTGACCATAACCACTTCCTGCCTCTAATACTTACGAAGGAAGAATTCAAATATTGGTCGCGGGGAGAGTGTGTTTCAGCACGGAATCTAAAATTTACTCTTCGTTTGCTTCCAATGAGTCTTTCGACAAGATCTCAAGAGAGTAATACAAACTTCCTTCAAAAATCAATCTCAAGAGTGTGAAGCTGGGCTGGGGATGGCTCGGCGATTAAGAGCACGCGCTGCTCTTCCAAAGCACCAGAGTTCAAGTCCCGGCACTCACATCAGGAGGCTCACAGACACCTGTAACTCCAGCTCCAGGCAGATCCGACCCCCCTGGGCTCTGCAGACACTCACGTGCACATACCCACGCCGAGACAAAACCACGTGATTTTAATATAAAAACAACTCTTTTAAAAACAACAATAACACAAACCCCGTGAAGCTGAACGGGAAGAAACACCGCTTAAACAGCGAAGAGAAAAGCCGAGGCTACCAAGCCGCTGGTCCTTGCGTGAACCACTTAACGACAATTACCAAGTCTGTCCCCACCACTGAGGAGGGTGCCCACAGGATGGGGCCGCCAAGCCCAAGGCACT